CTCTGTTCCCACAAATAAAACACAGGCTGGTGGAATAACAACACCTCACATCACCCTGAACACACACCACCCCCTCTGTGAAACATGGAGGTGGCAGCATCATAATGTGGGGATGCTTTTCTTCAGCAGGGACAGGGAAGATGGTCAGAGGTGACGTGAAGCTGAAACTGAACAGACCTGGAGAAAAAGGCTAGAAAAAAGTCGAGCCTGGGTCAGAGGATCGGCAGGACAACGACCTGAAACATCATCCTGAGCCTGATCTGAACACGTCTTACTGGACCGGTCCAAGTCCAGACCTGAATCCAACTGAGAATCTGTGTCAAAACCTGCAAACTACTGTCCAGAGAAGAAGAATGAGCAAAATGTTTAGCCTCTAGATGTGTAAAAACTGTGTGGACAAACCCTAAAGACCTGAAGCTGAAGCGAAAGGCGGTTCTGCAAAGTTTTGGCTCCAGGTGGTTGAACAGAGAAACACGCCACACTTTTCTGATTTTTCCCTGTGAAGCTCTACTTTGTATTGGTCGTCACATAAACATCCAATAAAATACTTTGAAGTTTGTCGTTGGAACGTGACAAAATGTACAAAAGTTCAAGTTCTATAAAAATTTCAGGTGAATTAAAAAAATCAAAATAATTTAAAGGTCTTAAATGGAATACGTAATTGACTCATTTTGCTACAGTCGTTCTATTAAAACTGGTTAAAACATTGAAGAAACAACATCGTAACCTTTGAAACATCAGAAAGAACGACACCTTCAGCTCACACTCAAGAGAAGCTCGTACATATTCAGTGGTTACAAATCAAAACGTCTCACCTGAAGTTCATTGTTGAGAGAAGAAAACCACTTCTTTTAGAGCAGAGGGAAAGTTTCTGAGTGTTTTGTTGCTGTGGTTGTTCAGTCTTTCAGTTAAGGCATGTTGTTTTCATTGTAAACTCAGAAAATACCAGAAATCCATTCAGAAAGAAAAGATCCATAAAGCTGAACTAACAGTCGAATAAATAAATAAATAAATAAATAAATAAATATAATAATGTCTGAATAAGACCTTGCAGCAGTTTCACTGGTCTGGCTCACACTCAGTGTCAACAGAAACTCAAAATGAAGGAGTGAAACGGCGGTGATAAAAAGGCTTCTGTGGCTGGACTCACATACCAAAGCATCAGGAAAGCTACTTTTCAGGTTTGACATGTGAGCGCTGACGCATGTCCTTTGTTAGACACTCCTCTGCTCTCAGAGGGAGCTGAAAGAGGCTGACGTCGCGTCGTGGAGGAAACACATCACGATTGACTGACTGAGGCCCTGCAGACCTGATCCACCAATCAGAGAACTCTACAGTCCCATCATGTTCATCACTGAGGTCATTCTGAACTAAAGCCTGCTGCACGTTATCCACTTATTAAAGGTAACAATCAGAAATCATTAGGATGGGCATAATTTGTCTGTATGAGGTGTGTGTGTGTGTCCGGGGTGGGGGGGGGGGGGGGGGGGGTGGGCTGACCTCCAAAATAACTTGATCCAGTCAACATGTCCCCGCAATAAAATTACATAATTTGCCCTAACAAAATAGAAATGAACTGGTTAAAGTACACAGCTGCAGCTTTCTTCTTTTTAGGCAGTGTCACATCCAGGTGCTGGTCATAAAATTAGAATATCGTGAAAAAGTTAATTTATTTCAGTAATTCCATTCAAAAAGTGAAACTTGTTTATTCTACTCATTCATTGATAAGAGCGATACAAAAAAAGTATTTTTAGAAATGTTGGCCAAGTGAAAAATGTCAGCATGTACAGCACTTAATACTTAGTTGGGGCTCCTTTTCCCTGGATTACTGCAGCAGTGTGGTGTGGCAGGGAGTCCATCAGTCTGTGGCTCTGCTCAGATAAGAACAGGGATACCATGGTCCTTACACCAGCTACTGGTAGCTTTGTCACTGTGTGCAGGAGTCAAGTCCAGTTGGAAAATGAAACCTGCATCTCCATAAAGTTGGTCAGCAGTAGGAAGCATGAAGTGCTCTAAAGCTTCCTGGTAGACGGCTGTGTTGACCCTGGACCTCAGAAAACACAATGGACCAACACCAGCAGATGACATGGCACCCCAAACCATCACTGACTGTGGAGACTTCACTCTGGACCTGAAGAAACATGGATTATGTGCCTCTCCTCTCTTCCTGCAGACTCTAGGACAGAGGTGCCCAAAGTGGGGCCTGCGGGCCAAAATTGGCCCGCCAAGCCTTTTAATTTGGCCCACCAGTAGTTTTTAATTGCCTGTCATCCTCTGTAGAAATTCTGTATTTCCATGTACAGTAATTACATCCAGTGGCTCAATGACTAAATAAGGGACTGTAGCACAGATAGCTGACTTTGTCACTGAATTATATTAAGATTATGAATAAAATACAAGAAACCAAAGAAGATATTTACATTAGATTTAAGCACACCTGCAGATTTGAAAACTTTATAAGACTACAAATACTCATATTTTATCAATGTATGAAATGTCCCATGAGCCTTTGCTGCCTGAGCAAGTGTACAGATTAAAAACACAAACAAACAAAACATGGGCCACAACACTGGCTCTTAGTTTAATCATAAAAAGTAAAAGCACTTTACTTAAGAAGTATTAGCATTTCCTATTGCATTTGGCCTGCAGCCTTTGGGTAGATTTTCATTTTGGCCCTCTGAGGGAATAAATTTGGGCACCCCTGCTCTAGGACCTTGATTTCCAAACGAAATGCTAAATTTACTTTCAGAGAACAGAAGTTTGGACCACTCAGCAGCAGTCCTGTCCTTTTAGTCTTCAGCCCAGGTGAGACACTTCTGGTGCTGTCTCTTGTTAGAGTGGTTTGACACAAGGAATGCGACAGCAGAAACCCATGTCTTTCATACGTCTGTGTGTTGTGGTTCTTGAAGCACTCACTCCAGCTGCAGTCCACTCTTTGTGAATCTCCCTCACATTTAAGAATGGGTTTTGTTTCACAGTCCTGTCGAGGGTGCAGTAATCTCTTTTGTTGTACAGGTTTTTCTATCACATCTTCTCCTTCCCTTCACCTCTCTATTAATGTGCTCGGACAGCCCCTTTTCCATTAGTGCCACTTAGTGTAGTGTCGGTACGGTTCAGTACGGTTCCAAGCCATTTCCATTAGGCCAGATTCATAGAACCGGCCCTTTTTTTAGTACCTACTTCTTTGTGGTTCCAACCGGCCCCAGCTGACACCAAAATGCGACGTCAGAACACTGTTCATCACTGACTGACTAAATATTTGCAAATTTTTTTAAGTTTCAAAAGTTATTCATCAAATGTGTTTCCATCTCTCATTTTTCCCCATTAACCTTTTTTCAAAAAACCTAAAAACGACCTCCACCAACTGCCCAAAACACACCCTTTGGAACCAGACTGGAACATCAGTGGAAAACCAACCGGTCCAACCCGTACCTACACCGACCGTTCCGACACTACACCATGGAAAAGGGGCATTACAAGGTGCCAATGGTCGTTTTTTGGACAACTGTCAAYTCAGCAGTCTTCCCCATGATTCTGTCGCCCACAGAACTAGACTGAGACCATTTGAAGGCCTCTGCAGGTGTTTTGAGTTAATTAGCTGATTAGAGTGTGACACCAGGTGTCTTCAATATTGAACCTTTTCACTATATTCTAATTTTCAGAGATACTGAATTTGGGATTTTCATTAGTTGTCAGTTGTAATCATCAAAATTAAAAGAAAGAAATATTTGAAATATATCTGTCTGTGTCTAATGAATAAATTATATAATAAACAAGTTTTACTTTTTTAATGGAATTACTGAAATAAATTCACTTTTTCATGATATCCTAATTTTTTGACCAGCAGCTGTATGTACGTTTAAACATAACTGCTGAAAATTTAGTCATTTCACATTATGGCTGTATTTATGTGTTGTAATTTCTCCAAGCCAAGTGCACCAGGTAAGTACATATTCTTGGAAAATTGTGAAATTTAAGTTTGTCATATAATACATCCTAAAGAAGTAGAATATTTGCTACTGTTGGAAAAATTGGGTGGGGGAAGTAAACCTCTTTATTGTTGAACTGAAAGGTGCAGAATAAATACAAAGAAAGCAAGAAAGTTAAGTAAAGCACAAGCAGAGCAGATGTTTTATGCACACAATTTTTGCCACAGTTTTCTAGTGATAACAACTTTACGCTTCTGATAAATAACCTATAGGATTTAGAGCGCACATAACCTGATGACTAAAGAAAAAACATTAAATTTAGAAAAACTCATTGAGCATTTATGCATTATGCCTTACTCTCCATCAACAACGTTTCAATTATTATACCTCAAAGACACATTTCCACAGTCCAGTAAATTGGTTGAAAAATGAAAGCCCTCACTAAATCCAGTTATTTGATGTTAAAATAAGAAAAGACAGAAAAACATAATCCTCTGTTGCTTCCCTCCACATCAAAATCAAAGCTTACGGAAAAACTCAAATTTAATTTTCTTGGCTTCAAAGTTTTCAGACTGAGTTTTACATGTGCACTAGATGGATTTGAATAAAACCCTTAAAGTAATAATTAGATTTACATCTAGAGCTGGAAAACCTTTTGCGTCAACCACTTTCAAGAAGGCCATCACAACTAAATGTCCTTAGAAAGCTACAGATTTTGAGGTCATGTCTGTAGTAGTAGTTGCTGAAAGTAACCCCCAACACATACTATGAGCAGCACTAACTGATCATGCAGGATCTGTCATTCCCTGTTACAGTCAACTCTGTCTGTTAGTAATGAACCACTGGATGAATTTTAATGAAATTCCCATGAAGTGATCTTTAAATACACATCTACAATAATGAACAATGGTTAATTGGTTTGATTTTATTTAAAAACAGGAAAAGATTAAAAGAAAACAACTCAAAACACGTGGCCTAAAGATTCAATTATCGCCTCTGCCTCCCTCCATGGATGAATTTACCGCTCCGGGCCGGCAGGGGGCAGAGTGGTCAACTGGCCGCAGCTGTATTTACTGCGCATGCGCAGCTGGTTCTTCCTTTTTCCAGTGCAGCGGAGTCAAGCTCCAGTCTTTGGCTCCGGGCTCCTTTTTAAGGAGACTAAAAGACTGCAAAATGGTTTGTAACTTACCCTCATATGCGTCCACACGCGTACCCAGTGTCCACACTTACTGTCGTGTGCTGTGACAATGGCTGAAAACACGTAGATGGTGCTTAGATGATAATGGATTCATTCCTGCTAGTGCCGACCCGGGTCTGCTTAAACGTGGCCTACCCTCCTACTTCCCCGAGTTCTTGCTTCCTGACGTCCGTAAATAACATTGATTGTTTATTTATAGGTGTTTAGTGAGTTATTACCTCAGGTTAAAGCTAAATGCTTGTCCATTATCTTTATTATTGGTCCTTTCGCAGAACTACCATCTACTCTTGTTGATTTTGGCTACACATGCTAATATTAGCCTCTTAGCATTACATTCTGACAGTGACACTTCAGATATGGACACGTAAAGACATTGTTAGCTCCTGTCAGTCCTTTACTATGTTTATCAGTGTCTGTCCTCTCACAGGGTTTTGTTAAAGTGGTGAAGAACAAGGCCTACTTCAAGAGGTACCAGGTCAAATTCAGGAGGAGGAGAGGTATAGTAAAATCATACACCTCATGTTTTCATATACAATGTAATTCAGTGTTTAATTAGCGTGTTGTGTTTTTATCCAGAGGGAAAGACTGACTACTTTGCTCGTAAGCGCCTCGTTGTTCAAGATAAGAACAAGTACAACACACCCAAGTACCGTATGATCGTCCGCTTCACCAACAGGGACATCATCTGCCAGGTAAGACTCCCAGCATCATGAGGAGAAGGTTAAACCAAAGCATCGTTGAGTCTAGTTGATCTTTGGGTTGTAAGTAAAAGCAGTCCCTTAAGGTAGGATCTCACTGGGCTGCAACTGTTGGAGACCAGTTGGTAACATAAAATTGTGTGAAAAGTTAGAAAATAAGCAATTTGTACATTGCATTATCGTTGAATTCTGAATTTTTGACAACTGAGCTGTGTGAACATCGCAACTTATTTTATTGTAAACATCGTACCCACCTTAAAGGGCTCGACACACGGGCAGCGACAAACTACAGCGATTAACAGCTGTCATCGCAGCCAGGGTGAAACCCGACACACGGGACGCGATAGTGATTGCAGCGTTGCGAATCGCGCTCTTTCAGGTCGCTTGTCTTCATGAAATTTGATTGGTTCTTGACTCTGAAGGGGGGTGTGCATTACGGACGTGTAAACTAAACAAATCTTGCAATGCTAATGATATTGAAAAACAAACACATATCAAGATACAGTTTTATGAGGAAAAACTTACCATAAACTTCACCCTGGTGCCAATAAATTCCCACAAAGCTTTTTAGTAATCACTTGGTGAAAGTGTTAGCTAACTGCAGTGTGTAGCATACTCTCCTCTCATTGGTCAGTCAATGAAACCCTCGCTGATTGGTTGTTCGCTAAGCGACAGCGACAAAAGTTGAACATTTTTCAACTTTCATATGTCGCGTCGCAAGCTCGCGTGTGCACGTCTACGTGTACGAGCGCGAAATTGAACATGCACTATTTTCGCCGGTCACTTAGCTGGAGGAGGGCAAGCGATTGTCGCCTCACCGCACAGGCTCCATAGGAAATGAATGGAGAGCGAGCGATGTCGCCTCCCGTGTGTCGAGCGCTTAAGAAGCTGACTTTTTAGATCTGGACATTCATCTCAGGTGTTTTCTGTCAGAGAGCTCCCCTGCAGATAACAAAACACAGCTGTGTCGATGTAATTTTTGTAGCACATTAGAAACAACAAAGGTTAAAATAAAATACAGAAACAAAAAACAATAATAATCAGCTCTAACTAAACCTCAAACTCAAGCTAAAGAAAAGAGATGGATTAAGAAAAGTCTTATGTTTCACTGGGTCGAAGCAGCGATTGAAAGATCACCTCTCCATTTCAGTTTGGTTCTCAGGCATCTAAGAAAAACTGGAGTGTAGATGTTGAGAAGATTACATAAATATGATGGAGCCAGACCTTAAACATCCAAATCTTAAAATCAACTCTCAAGTGAAGTCAGTGAGTTGACTCCTGGGTTCATTAGTACAGTTTTTTAGAACCTGTTAAAAGACAAGCTGATGCGTTCTGGGTCATTTCCTAAGCAATGCAGAGATGATGCTTTAGGGAATGTGTGTCGTACTCTGGTCCTCGACAGCAGCTATCCTGCCTGTTTCCTTGTTTCTTCTGCTGAAACACCTGGTTTGCATGAATGGATGATCATCAGGCTTCTGCAGAACTTGAAGAGGTGATTCAGTCACTGAATCAGATGTGTTGGAGCAGAGAAACAAGGAAAAGATGCAGGATAACGGTCCTCGAGGACCTGAATTTGACCCCCCGTGCTAGGGTTCCTCCGATTGTGAGGAAAAATAAAATACACAAATATTTTTAACTAAAACAGTTGAATAGGTTCTCTGGACAAGTTCTTTGTTGAAGCATTTTGTCTCTTCAAGAGACCTCTTCAGTCTGAGGAGTTCCAGGTAAACTCCACATACTGGATCATCAAGTTTACTGATGACAACCATTTAAAACTGTTGGTTCACCTGCAAAAAGGGACCATCAGCCTAACGACCGATGGTTAGGGACCTATAATGTTTAGATATAATGTTTACAAATCAGTGAGTTCTTTTTAAAAAAAATCTTCACTCTGCACCGTTTTCATTCATGACAAGATTTGCTTTTTTATTTTTATTTTTTGCTTATTTTGGATTTTTACTGTATTTAGATTGTTTATGAATGAAATAAGTTATATAAACTAAAATATAACTATTCATCTAAATTGCTCTGGGGGTGCCACGGTTACTGCAGGCCAACAGGTCAGGGGCCAAACATCCAGCAGTTGAAGTTATGTAAACAAACCAAAGATCTGTTACCTTTTTGAATTATTGTATTTTGCTGTGTTTGATCATGAATACAACACACACAGCTAATGTAATAAAAGTAGGTTAATTAAAACAATATCAAAGATGAAAATAACACAGTGTGCCTCATATTTAACACATATTTTTTACATCTCTGGCTTGCCAAATGTTTTAAAATTATTTTATTTTTATCTTCAGCTGCTTGTATTTTTAACTGTCTTGGGTTTGACAGCTGGTAAAAAAATCTATTTTTAACCTTTCTGTAGACACCACAAGTCTGTCTAACTAAAAGAACTTATAGGAATTAAAGTAGAAATCTGGGAGTTTGGGCTTAAGAGATTAATGGACCAATTTGTGGGCCAGATGTGGCCCATAGGCCACCAGTTGAATAGCCCTGTCATAAATGCTCTTTCTGCTTGTGAAGGGCTCCATGTGTCTGTGTTGCAGATTGCCTATGCAAAGATTGAGGGTGACATGATCGTGTGCGCCGCCTACTCACATGAACTACCAAAATATGGAGTCACTGTGGGCCTGACGAACTACGCAGCAGCCTACTGCACTGGTCTGCTGTTGGCCCGCAGGGTGCGTATCAACCTGTTCGTGAATAACAAGAAGTTAGTCTGCGTGAAAACCTGGTTCTAACCGTTTGTCTCCCTCGACAGCTTCTGACCAAGTTTAGCCTGGATAAGGTGTACGAAGGCCAGGTGGAGGTGACGGGTGATGAGTTCAACGTGGAGAGCATCGACGGTCAGCCTGGAGCTTTCACCTGCTACCTGGATGCTGGGCTCGCCAGAACCACCACAGGCAACAAGGTGTTCGGTGCTCTGAAGGGGGCCGTGGATGGAGGCCTGTCCATCCCTCACAGGTGAGCTCCAGTGTGACGAAAACAAAAATGGTCTAGTTTAAATATTTAAAACACTGAGTTCATCAGAACTTCAAACTTTCAAAACAACATTTTATGGTACTTCATCATAACATGCTCATGTCAAACTCACTCATTCAGTAAAAAAAAACAAAATGAGACCAAATGTTTGCCTTCAACGAAGATTGGCTGGTTGAGTTTCTTCTTTCTTCATTTTTGTAAATTCCTCTTTGTTTTGGTGCTTTCCGGGCATGCATATGTTCAAGACCCGGCTGTGTGGTGAGGTTAGGATGTCTCCTATAG